CCAGCAAAAAGTACCGCTCACCGCCCTGGCCACGAACGCGGGCTGGGCCCCACACGTCCAGGTGGAGGGTCTGCAGAGGAGCCCCTGTCGGGGGGAACGAGGAGGAGTGAGGAGCGGCGCGCTGCCGCCCCTCGACGCAAGGAAGGCAAGGCGGCGCAGGCGAGGAAGGGAGAGGAGGGAGGGACCTGGGAAGACCAGACACAAGGCGGCGACGGTGCATGCCACGGAGGCGTGGCAAGGAGGGGTGACCCAGGCGGTGGTGCCAGAGAAGAGTCTGGTGCGACAGGGAACGACACTCACAGGCGTGGGCCACCAGACCTGACGCGGACACCTGACCGACAGCAGCGACCTGAGGAGACGCAGTGGTCAGTGTGTAGAGACTCGACCCCGGCCGACGAGTAAACGTAGCCAGGTGACGGCCGGTCCTGGAGCACGTGCAGATCGCCACACGCTGTCCTCCAGGGGTAAAGGTGTCAACCCACTGATCCTGGATGACAGCGTTGCTCACCAGGTTCATCGAGAACGAGGGGAGGTGGAAACCCGTCAACGAGCCAGACGGAACCGCCGGACAAGGGAGCACAGTGGTGGACTGGGCAAGGACTGGGCCCCCAGAGGGGTCAGCCAAGGAGACTGGGACCGGTGCAGGAAGCGGTGTGAGCTCAGTACTGTCTCGAAAGAAGCAGCGGGAAGCACCTGAGTCAAGGGTGAAGGTGTGACAGGTCTCAGCCGGTGCAGTACCTGAGAGAGCAGTCTCTGTGGGTGCTGTACCTGAGAGAGCAGACTCGCAAGCAGCAGGGACAGTGCTGGAGGGAGCAGGTACAGGGGGCACCATACCAGAGAGAGCAGACTCACTAGTACCTAGGGCAGCGGGCCCTATACCTGGGTCAGGCGGCACACACAAGTAACAGTCTCCCTCGGCACTAACAGTCAATGCATACATGGCAGCAATAATAGCATCATAGTCAAGAGCAAAGATATCAACACCAGCCCTCATCAGCTCAGCCCAGCGAGGGCGCTCAACATCCTCGCCCATCTCCTCACGCCAAGCGTCGTCAAGGCGGAAGAAGCAGCGGTACTGAGTGTGGAACTTTCCACACGTCTGCCCCTTGCGATCACCTGTGCGAATGACATAGGAACAGCGGCCACTGCCCCCCGACGTCCCACGCTGAGCAAGCCACTCACGAAGCTGCTGGGTCGACTGGGGACGCTGCTGCTGCTGGGAGCTCTGGCCCGAGCCGGTGCCTCCACTCCGACCTCCACCGCCGCCACTACCTCCGCTCCGACCGCCACCACCGCCACCGCCACCGCCACTACCGCCACCGCCGCCACTGCCGCCGCTGCCACCACCGCCACTGCTCCCGCCGCCGCCCCCGCCTCCGCCGCCGGCCCCACTCCCACCGGCACTCCCGCCACCGCTCCCTCCAGCACCGCCTCCCCCCCCACCTCCCCCACCCCCTCCCCCCCCAGCGCCACCCCCGCCACCCTTGCCCCCCTTGCCCTTGCCGGTGCGGCGCCTCCCACCAGGAGCAGAAGCAGCGCCAGCAGACTCAGCACCAAGGAAGTCAACAGCAGCAGCAGTAGCATAGGAGGGAGCGAGGGGAGAGGGAGAGCACCCCTCAAAGATGGGGGTGCGAGGAGCGCCGCGAGCAGCACCTACAGCTACAATGCTCTTCTCGGCTGCTAGCAGCTTCTCCTCTAGGAGGGCGACTGTGAGCTCAGTGGGACAGCGAGCAAGGAAATAGTCGCGCACTGAGCTGAGGGTGTCAGGGAGACGGGTGACTATGAAGTGGAGTGCCCAGTACAGGGGAGGGGGGTTCTTAGCGCAGAACTCGGTGGGAAGGGCGGCACGCAGGCGAGCATCACTAGTGCGAAGGTGGGTGATAAGATCGGCGACTGTAGCAAAGGTGGACAGGTCAGGGAACAGGTAAGGCAGCATGAGACGGCTAAGCTCGGCTGTGGCAGGTGAGGAGTAGCGAGCAACGACAGCGTCGTATAGGGCTTTAGCGGTTTTGCAGTCGCCAAAGTGCTCTAGCTCAGCTAACGGCAGGTGACTGCGAATAGCCAGGCGAGCTGCAGCGTCACGAGTCTGCCACTGTGAACGTACACTAAGCTCGGCTGTGGCAGCAGGAGCAGCGGCAGCACCAGACGCGTAGTCATAGAGGGAGATGTGGTCCGTGCTATTGCTCATAAGATACAACTGCAGGTCGTCGAGCCAGGAAGTGAACTGCACGGGACGGCCCTCAGCATCGAAGGAAAGAACGCGAATAGAGGCCATAGCTCAGGCGTGAGGGCACAGCAGAGCAGCGGCAGCAGCAGAGGGGACGCGCTAGAGCGAAGCTAGCAGCCACAGCAGGAGCAAGCGGCGGTGCACAGGCAGGGAGCAGCAGGCGAGGCGGGCGGCGCTGCAGGCGGGAAGTGCGGCGGGCGGGCTGCGAAGCGGGCAGCGGGGCGGGCGGGCGACGCGGCGAGCGGGCAGCGCGGCGGGCGGCTGCGAAGCGGGCAGCGGGCGGGCGGGCGACGCTGCAAGCGGGCAGCGGGCGGGCGGGCGACGCTGCAAGCGGGCAGCGAGGCGGGCGGGCGACGCTGCGAGCGGGCAGCGAGCGAGCGGGCGGGCGGGCTGCGAAGCGGGCAGCGGGGCGAGCGGGCTGCGAAGCGGGCAGCGGGGCGAGCGGGCGACGCTGCGAGCAGGCAGCGCGGCGGGCGGGCGGCGAGCGGGCGGCTCGGCGGGCGGGCGACGCTGCGAGGGGCGCGCGAGGGCGCTAACGAGGGGCGCTTCGAGGGCGCTAGCGAGGGCGCGCGAGGGCGCTAACGAGGGGCGCGCGAGGGCGCTAACGAGGGCGCGCGAGGGCGCTAACGAGGGCGCGCGAGGGCGCTACGAGGCTAGGGCACGGGGTAGCGTGGTAACCGCATGCGAGCGGTGGTGGGCCCTTAAAAGAAACGGTCGATAGGTCCTAGGGACCTCCTGCTCTGAATACCATTTCAACAGGACTAAGCAAGAATGTGTCATTGAATGGAAGAATTGGGTACAAGTAGCAAACCCTAGTTGGGGTTGTACCCCATACTGGCTACCCCACTACAGCCTACCAACATAACACAGTTTAACACCCAGCCCCCCACCCTAGAATGTGATGTGATTCACTTTTTATGATGTAAACTGCTTGGACAATAAATCTTGTACTTGACCAGTTGAAATGAGACTTTGCGTGTGCGGGTGAGAGTGAGGGTGAAAGCTGGGTGAGAGTGCGGGTGGAAGTGATGTGGAGAGTGGCAGTTGCAGTTACATTTAGGGCACAAACGTGGTGAGAGGATGGCCATTGGCGCAGAGGGCAGGTGGGATTGAGAATGAGAATGGGGCGGTGAGGGGGAAGGTGGGCAGAAGTGGTGAAGTGCCAATGGGAGCGGAGAGGCGGCAACCTCAGGCACGCCGCACTGCCCAGTGATGCACTGCAGCAGGTGCAGTGACAGGAGGGGATTGACACACTGTGCTTCACTGCTCTACTGAACACTGCCCTATCCTGGCTCAATACCGTGTATCCGTTGTTGATCTACTCCAGAGCTAGCTTCTAAGCTCCTTTATATTCTGTTTCCATAGTACTGTTTTGGTGGAGACTAGATTTATGATACCTGCCCCTCAACCAAGAGAATGGGAGCCACCAAAGCAGTACTACGGTAAAACGTAAATGCTAAAACAGAAGCAGAATATGAAGGAGCTCAAAAGTTCCGGAGTAGATCAACAACGGATATACGGTATTGAGCCAGGACAGGGCAGTGTTCGGTAGAGCAGTGGAGCACAGTGTGTCAATCCCCTCCTGTCACTGCACCTGCTGCAGCGCATCACTGGTCAGTGCGGGGTGCCAGAGGTTGCCGTCTCTTCGCTCCCATTGGCACTTCACCACTCCTGCCCACCTTCCCCCTCACCGCCCCATTCTCATTCTCAATTCCACCTGCCCTCCGCGCCCCTGGCCGTCCTCTCACCGCGATTGTGCCCTTGGTGCAACTGCAACTGCCACTCGCCACATCACTCCCAACCGCACTGGGCAGAACGGCCCGTCTATTGTATACCCAAACTACTCATGCACCTGAAAAGCGCAGCACAGCACAGCGCTGTCAAGTACGCTATGCGAGCATCAAGGAGCTTGGTACCTTCGGGATTGAAGGTTGTTGCTATGCCAAATACCGAGAGCAAATGTGTCCAGCAAGCAAGGAACTAATGACATTGAACTTCTTTAATGGACCAGTGGGGGCCGGCCCAACCGGCACTGCGGATGTGCTCCAACAATAATGTTGCAGCACGGGCTTGCAAGGTTTGAGTATACCCCCGGAGCGTGATTACCTTCTTACTCAACATGCCACATATGGAACAGAGCATAAGTAGGTCCAGAAGGAGCTACTTTTGGTAGTTCCACCTTCATTCATTCTTACTTTTTTTTTTCATATACCACAAGTGTTTTACAGTTGATGGTTTGAGCTTGGCTGCTATTGATTGGCGATGCACAAAAAATGAACGGGGGTGCAGTGAGGAGTGCGAAAGGAACTGAATTCATTTGTTCTGTCCGAACCTACCTAGGCATGGAAATAGGCTCGGAGCCGAAGATAAAATGCCAGTGAAATGTCGAGACTTGTAGAAAGTCACATGTATCTGAATTTTGTTTTGCACTTGGTGCTGGGGCAAAAACGGGGGAGTGTCGCACGCCAATTTCCTTAGCTATCCAGTCTACCTCGCCTACAAAAACGGGGTAACTCAGCTTCACGTGTTTTGCAATTGATGGCAAAATCTTACTTGAGACCCTGGCTTTAAGCGAATTTCGCCGCATTGCCCTGGCTTCTGGCCTGCTTTCAGACCTGCCCGTTTTTGAGTTTCCAGAGCTTCCATAAAGCCTTCCTCTCCTCCCAATCCTCTCACCCCACAACCCCCACTACCCTCGTTTCCGCCCTGTCCTCCCCACCACCCCCACCACCCCCACCACCCCCACCAACCCCACGGCCCCGTGGCAAGGCAGGCACGAGCACCGCGTGTTGGGGGACGAGGCGATGGCGAACGGGCTGGTGGAGTTTGAGGGCGCGTGGCGCCGCGCCACGGAGGAGGAGCCGCTGTGCTTCCAGCGCGTGCTGCTGCCGGGGATTCTCAAGGTGGGTTGGGCACTACGTGCCCCAGGGCTTCCCTTGTCTGGTGTTACGTGGCTGGTCTACGTGTTTTCCCTGGTGAATTCTCAGGTGTCCCAGGTCAACTCTCAGGTATTCCAGATTTGCTTTCATGTGAGTTGGAATCGGATATCGTCCTCCCTTCTTCCCTCCCTCCCTATCTTCCTCATTCTCTCCATGTCCCATCCTCACCTCCCAGCTTCCATGCACGCACATGTCACTGCCGGCACTCCTCTGCGCACAGCGCTCACCCTTGTCTGGTTTCACGTGGCTGTACACTGCGGCCCACATGACTGTCCTCTTAGCACCGCACAGCACAGTGCAACACAGCACATTACAGCATAGCCTTCATCGCTTGTTCAGCCAGCCTTCCCATATGTTCTCCACGTCGCACCAAGTCGCATCAAGTGCAATCAAGCTTCTCCATGTGTTCACCTCCCCTCACAGCAAGGCTAATCCAAACCGCCTCCCCTCGCAGCAAGGCTAGTCCGAACCACCTCCCCTCTGCAGCTGGACTAGCCGTGCTGCAGCGCCACCGGTGCAAGCAGCAGTGTGTGTGGAGCCACCTGCTGGGGCACGTGCGGGCTCAACCAGGATACCTGTGCCGCCCTCCCTCCCTGCACGCCCACGCCCCCTCTCCTCCCTGCACGCTCAAGCCCCCTCTCCCCCCCGATGCTGGCAGGCTACCAGCAGTGCCACAAGCACAGCAACGTGCCATCCACCCTCCCTCCCAGCAACTTGAGCTTCAATCTCTTTGGGGTTCTATCGCCCTCCCTCTGTTCTTCCCCACAGAGCCACCTCCACTGCACTGCGTGTGAAGCTTTAGAATCGACTCAGAAGACCCCTCTTCCCCTCCCCCCTCTTCAACTCCCCCCTCTTCCCCTCCCCCCTCTTCCCCTCCCCCCTCTTCCTCTCCCCCCTCTTCCCCTCCCCCCTCTTCCCCTCCCCCCAACAGGGCCAGGTGTTCCCCTCGTCGCCAGCGCAAGCCGGCTACCTGCAGCGCCACCTGCGGGTGAAGCTGCGCCTGCACCCGCCCCCCGCGGTGCTGTGGGGGCCGCAGGGCGTGCAGGGGTGGCGGGCGCGCGTGCTGTACATCACACGGCTGGGCGCAGAGCTGAGGCAGCGCCGCACGTTCCTGCCGGAGAGCCATGAGGCGCTGCTGCGACTGATGGAGGACATGAACATGGAGGTGAGACCCGTGACTGGTTCATTCACGCGTCATCACTCGTCCGGTGCCTGAGGCCAGAGCTCTGGCAGCGGTGCACGGCCTGAACAGACAGCCATGAGGCGCTGCTGAGGATCATGCAGGAGATGAATGAAGATGGAGGTGCGTGGGTGAAGATGAACACAGCACGGTGAGAATGGGCGTGCTGTGTGGCATCAGGAGGCATAGGGGTTGGAGTGCATGGGTGGTACACCACTTGAGAGGGCGCACAGTTGGAAATGGCAGTTCCTTGTGGCCAAAGCCATGGCAGAGCCATGTCTGCCCACTACCATAACCCTCTTCCCCCTCTTGGCCGCGTGCGGGCCCCACCCAGTGTGCATGATTCGCACGCATCCTTGTGTTCCCTCACACCCACTCCCCCCCACCAGGTGAGAATGCCAGAGCCACCTGACCCTGCAGCCAGTTTTTTATGCATGAAAAGCAGTGTGTGTCCATCCTCGCTCTTCATCCCTCCCAACCCCATCACCCCCTCCCCCCCCACCAGGTGAGCATGGCAGAACTGAGTCAGCTGACGTTCAAGCAGCAGTTCGACGCCATCCAGTCGGCCGACATCATCCTCTCCCTGCACGGCGCAGCCCTCGCCAACCCGCCACTCTTCGCGCGGCGCACCACAGCGGTGGTGGAGGTGATGCCGTACCACGTGCTGCACGAGACCTACTACGCCATGGCTCTCAGCGCCGCCCTGCCCTACTTCATGAAGATGTGCCGTCGCGGAAACTTCCAGGCAGGGGACCGCGCGGAGGTGGACGCGCTGAGTGTGTACGAGTGCACGCATGGGCACCCCGAGTGCAAGGAGTATTTCACCCACCGGCGCCGCGTGGAGCTCACAGAGGAGGACTTGAGCGACCTGAGAGTGATACTTGGCACGGCGAGGGAGGTGGTGGCGGCGGGGCTGGGGGGCATGGGGGGCGTGGTGCGGCCGGACGAGCTGCCACGGTGGGCGGAGAGGCGGTTTGGCGAGCGCTGTGTGGCGCGCGATGCGGGGCTGTTCTGCCGGAATGACTTTGTGCGCATCGTGGGCGGCACGGGGGATTTCACTTGTGTGTTTTCACGGGACTGTGAGGGCCAGGAGCAGCCACAGTGATGTGATGGGCAACAACTTCTGTCATGCCTGTACTCGTTCCCATTGATGTGGTGGCAAACTGTACAAACCCCTGTGTCCTGTAACTGTAGCATGCCATTCTTTTCATAAACAAACCACCACACTGTTTATTCACCACCTGTGTCCAGGACCTATACTTGGTTTTGGATTATCCTAAAGTATCAGGGAGCAGTTTAGACGCATGGAAAAGCTCCGACAAAGGCAAAACGAAGCGTTGCACACTTGTCAGTTGAGAGAAGTATACCGTACCTCGATCTATAAGCCGCGACCTCTGTTACATGAGTGGTTCCCCAGGGTCGCTTCAGATTGAATATATGCCCAAGGCCATTACAGAAGTATTCTACTGTACGGTCCACCCCAAAAATAACCGAAAGGCCATAAGCACCTAAGGGCCTCTACCGAGAGGGAGGGGGGGAGGAAGTTGGTTTACGGTACAATGCATGGCTTTCATACCCATTCACCATGCACTGATAAACCTAATGCTTCTGCAAGCACATGTCCACGGCCATGGCTACAAGATCAAGCCACCACTGCCCACACATCACCCACAGACAAGACCTCAGCATGGCAAGCCAGCTCTACATTGCCTCACATACCTTGCACAAAACACTTTCCTTTATATATAACGCTCGCTAAAAGAAACTTCCCTTCCCACACACAAGTGCCGCAGCCTGTACCGCTGCAACCCCAGCACCTGTGGCAGCACCTCAACAGCATAGCACCATGTGCGCCTGGTGAAAGATCACCCACACACGCATGCGGGTACACGCAGGACGCCAAGCGTGACTCATTCCACCCATGCCACCCGCACAGCACCTTCCACCCATGCCACCCGCACAGCACCTTCCACCCATGCCACCCACACAGCACGTCACCCAGCAAAGCCCAGGGCAGTGCGTCTTCCAATGGGCCGCACTCCACCACCCTGTCACAGCAAGCTTAGCAAGCACAGACAAGCCCACAGATACCCCGACAAGCCCAGGCAAGCCTAGTGAAGCCCACGTCTGCGCACCCTCACTGCAGGCGGCCCAGTGCCTCCTCCAGCGCCGCATACACCACCCTGTCCCGCTCCTCGCTTGCCACTCCCCCCCACAGGTGGCGCACCATGGCCCCATCAGGCCCTGTGAGCTCGCGGAACGGCACCATGAGCACCCGCCCCCGCCAGTGCGGCCAGCGCGCCACCTGGTTGAGGCGGTGCTGCTCCCACACGTGGTTGAACAGGTGGTAGTCGCCCCGCTGCTCGCTGTACCACTGCCTCAAGAACTGCGCAGAGCAGAGGGGGGGAAGGCACATCAGTGCAATGAGAGGCGATTGGAAAGGGAATTGATTACCAACACATAAAGGGCTTGGAAAACATGAGCTGCTACTGATGTGAAGAGCTTAGCAACACGGTACCTCTCCCACACGGCACCTCTCCCACACAACACCTCTCCAATGGTGATATGAACTTCAAAATCACCTCTACCACACACCCCCACTCCCGCATTGATAGCATACGGCCATGGCTGGCGACGAGACAGCTGCGAAAATACGCACGTGGCCCGTATACGTGCTGCCGCGCTACCCAACGCACATGTTGGTCCAATCCCGACATGTGGTAATCCACTCGCCAGTTTGGCTCACTCCCCCACCTTGAAGCTGTTCTCGCCACACCATTGAAAATGGCGTTTCCCTTCCTAAGCAACGCCTTTGGTGACTCCAACCCCACTTGTGCTAGTGCGACCCCAAGCCCCTCAAGCCCCAAGCCCCTCAAGCCCCAAGCCCCTCAAGCCCCAAGCCCCCTCCCACCTTGAAGGTGTCTGGCGAGCGCCGCCAGAGCATGGCGCCCGCATTGAGGTAGTCTGAGTCCCGCCGGAACACCATGCCCACGTCCCCGTAGAAGCCATCCCTCGAGTCGCCGTTGCGTGGAATCAGAGCCACAGGCCCCTCTGGCTGTAGCGCGGTGGCGGGCTGTAGCAGCAGGGCGGGGTCCTGTGGGAGCCACACCTGCCCGGCCAGAGTGTCGGTCAGGTTGTCCCTCAGCAGCCAGGAGAAGTAGCTCTGAGCCGGGTGAGGGGCACAAGAAGCAGACACAAGGGGCATATTGGGGGTTGGGAGATGATTGTCCCTCAGCAGCCAGGAGAAGTAGTTTTGAGGGGAGGTAACGTGCGCACACAAGAAAGATACCCACGAGGGTTGTGGGAAGCACGAGAAGGTCAATCTGATGTCATGTGTCAATACATGTAACAAAAACGTCCAAGATAGGTAGTAGTGCCACTGTCATCCGGCAGATTAGTGGGGGTGAGGTAGGGGTGTGGATGGGTAGGAAAGGATATCACTGGAAAAAAGTTCTGAAGGTCATGTGTAGTGGGTTCCACCCACACGTGCCCCTCCAGCGGGCCTGCTAGGATGCGGTTTGCAGGCAAAAGCAGATATTGTGGTTCTGGTGAAAGGAAAGGTAGGCAGAGGAGCGTGTGAGCAGCAGGTTTGTGATGGATGCACTGAAGCCAACGGCGGATCTGATGGGTACGAACGATAGCACATCTGATTGAACACCAGTTATGTGCCATTCTGTTGATACGTGGCAGCAACTTTAAGGATTCAACAACTGTGAATATTGAATAGTCGGCTGCTCTTTGTAGAAAAAGGCTTTTGTGTACAATAAACGGTGGTAACAAGCCTTCTTCAGACCAATGCACAATGGCAGGTTTGTGAGACTATGCATATGACCGCCAGATTTTTTCGGGTTGGCATCTTTTGAAATAGGGCAGTGGCGAGAAGGGGTGAGAAGGGATTAGGAGGGGAGAGGAGGGGTGATGAGGATGAGGAGAAGAAGCATTAACCACACTTGATTTCTTGCTCACATCTTTTGTTCAAGAGAATAGAAGCGCAGATGTAACTAAGCATGAAAGTAACAAACATTTTGTTGTGTGATGCTATCATTCGCATTCACGTCTGTCTGCCTCCCATCATATGTTCGTGCGTTGCATCCATGGTGTGAGCGTGTGAAAGAATTAGTGTTTTGTGCGGTTTGGATTTCCTGAGTGTGTGTGAATGTTATTTGGCTTGAGCAGATATCTGAAATGATTCATCTGCTCAAGAGCTTTCCGACGAGCCAAGAATCGTCGCGATCGGAGCAAGAACAAGAAAGTTACGAACGTTGGAGTTCGTATGCTTTCTGTACTTTGGTTGCGGCGACTATGGGAACTTGTTGGGTTGACTCAATATGGGGTATAGACTTTTGGGGTTGGGAAATTCGGTCCCATCACTGTAGATGCTGCCATGTGGTTGGGAGAAGCCAAACCAGGTTGGCAAGTGTGGCCAAGTGGGAGTGAGGTGAATCAAGGAGGTTGGGAAAATGACAAGGGTGAAAGTTGGGTTGCATGTTGAGAGGGAAATTGTGTGGCATGGGGTTTCCTTGGTTGGGAACTCCCTTGGGACCTTCCCTCTTGTCCTCCTCTTCCCTCCCACCTGGTTTAGTGCTACCCTATCTTTCTTGTGTGCAACTTGTGGAACTTGTGAGTTAATTGCGATTGAGTTAAATTTTCTGTGGCAGCATACCCCCCTGTGCGCCGAAACGCATAACTCATGATTTAGTTCACAATTTGACGTGATTCAACTTGGGAATTGTAGCCACGGTCTAGAGCTACAACATACTTGGTTTTCGTGAGATTTTAACGGTGAACTTTTTGGCGACGACGTTTCTTGTGAAGTCGCGGTTTCTGTCCAGAGTTATAAACCAACGATTTTGTGATATTTCGGCCTCTATTCTTCATAGGCTCCGTCCTTAGTCTCTAACAAGTGGTATCAGAGCTGATTGAGGACGTTGCAAAGAGTCTACTAAGATGTGAAGACCCTCCTAGACCCACCATGGCCTGTGGGCGTGCCTAAGTGGAGTTCTAGAGGTTGGATGTGACTTCCGCTAAGGGGAAACTCTGCCGAAATTTCGTTGGCGCCGACACTTGTGAAGATTGTAAGGATCTACATTGTGACCAGCAAGGGGGGAGCTGAAACCTCTGATTGGGAGCTGAGAAGAGTCAAGGGAGTGGAGAAGCTGCTGAGAAGAAGAGCGAGCCGCCACCATCCAAGATTGAGGCGTTGGATGGCTCCAATTATGAAGGAGAGGAGACTGCACCAACTACTGGGGCCCTGGATGCAGTCAAGAAGGTGCAGCAGCCACAGCAATCATATGATGAGGTGCTTGCGGGTGTGGATGCAACGCCTGCATGGGCAAAGGCTTCATCCGGGAGTGCTGAGGTCGATTGGGAGATGTGGCACGAGAGGTTGTGCCACATCAACATTCCGATGCTGCAGAAGTTGGTGAATGATGAGAGCTTGAAGGGATTGGAGGTGAAGGGGGCAGCAAAGGAGATTGGGAGCTGCCCTACATGCCTTGAGACGAAATTCACCAAGTTCCCTTTCAGCAGCAGCACGGGACCAGCCAAGGCACCGCTCGCGCTTGTGCATATGGATGTGGTGGGCCCCACGAGGGCCCTTTCTCTCTCGGGCAGCCGCTACTTCTTGACCATTGTGGACGACCACACGCGTGCGGTGTGGGTCTACCCTCTCAAGACTAAGGGGGAGGTGGCAGCGGCTGTACTTAAGGAGTGGATGCCGAGAGCACAAAGGGAGAGCGGACACAAGGTGAAGGTGATCCGCACCGACAACGGGGGAGAGTTCATTGGCGCTGATTTTGAGGCGGTGCTGAAGAAGAAGGGGATCCAGCATCAGCTCACAGTGCCCTACAACCCTCAGCAGAATGGCGTGGCTGAGCGGTTCAACCGGACCTTGCAGGAAGGTGCTCGCACTCTCCTTGGGCGTGCAGGGCTGCCGGATCCGTTTTGGGTGACTGCACTGAGGCAGGTCGTCGTTGTGAAGAACAGGGTGCTGGCGACTGTGGGGGACAAGCAGTGGGTCCCCTACACCAAGTGGTATGGGAGTGCACCAGCGGTCAACATGCTGAGAGCGTTCGGCTGCATGGTGGTGTTTCATGTGCCGAAGGAGAAGAGGGGAAAGCTGGAAGCTTCTGGGAGATGGGGTGTGCACTTGGGACTTGCAAGTGAAAAATCACAAGGGCTGGTTGATTTGGGACTTGACCAGCCAGCAGCTGACTGTGTCGAGGGATGTGAAATTCCTCGAGTCCTTGTACTACAAGGAGTGGAAGCAGCAGCAACAGAAGCTTCCTACGACACCGCTGATCATTGAGGCCGATGAGGTGCAGCGGCCTTCAAGGCAGGTGGAAGTCTCCGTTGCGGGGGAGGATATCTCTGGGGTGACTGAGGATGGGGGAGAACCTGAGGTGGAGGAGCAGCAGCAACAGCAGCCGCAGCAGCAGCAGCAGCAGCAGCAGCAGCCACCGCAGCAGCAGCAGCAACGTGAGGCTGAACGTCCTAGGAGGGATGTGCGTCCTCCTAACCGGCTTACCTACCCGAGCTTTGGGAAGCCAAAGGTGGTGCGGGCTGGGAGTGTGGCTGAGCAATGCGATGAGGAGGAGATAGCGCACTGCTACTGGGCAGCCGTCCCTGAGCCCAAGACTCTTACCGAGGCCTTAAGTGGGCCCGATGCTGAGAAGTGGAAGCAGAGTGTGAAGGAGGAGTACGACTCTCTACTGGAGAACGAGACGTGGGAGTTGTGTGAGCTGCCTCCTGGGAAGAAGGCCATTTCTTCCAAGCTGATTTTCAGGCACAAGTACGGACCTGATGGGGAGCTGACCCGCTACAAGTCAAGGCTTGTGGCTAAGGGGTTCCAGCAGACAAAGGGCAAGGATTTTGACGACATCTTTGCTCCTGTGGGGAAAGGGACAACACTGAGGACGATGTTGGCAATGGCTGCAAACCGTGGATGGAAGATCAAGCAGATGGACATCATCACTGCCTTCCTCAACGGGATCATCTTGGAGGAGCTGTATACGCTGCAGCCTGAGGGGCTGGATGATGGGAGCGGCAGGGTGTGCAGGCTGAAGAAGGCCATCTATGGCCTGAAGCAGGCTCCTCGCGCATGGTACCACAAGCTGGAGGAGACACTGCTGGCTGGGGGATTCAAGAAGAGCGAGTGTGATCACAGCCTGTTCCTGCTGCAAGAGAAGGAGCAGTTTCTCATGCTCCTGGTGTACGTGGATGACATTCTTCTTTTCTCCGAGTCATCTGCGATGATTGAGCATGTGGAGGAGATGCTGGAGATGCAGTTCAAGTGCTCGAAGATGGGAGATGTGAAGTACTACCTGGGGATGCATGTGGAGAGAGACCTTGACAAGGGAGTGTTGAGGTTGCACCAGAGGAAGTACTGTGAGGGGCTGGCAGATAAGTATGGGCTGCAAGATGGAGGGAAGCCAGCCACCCCACTGCCTTCGGGGTTCACTGTGGAGCCCTGTGCTGATGAGGAGGTGGTGGGAGAGAGTGACAGGAAGCTGTTTCATTCCATGGTTGGGGCGCTCAACTATGCGGCTAACCACACGCGGCCTGACATTGCGTTTGCTACATCCAGGCTTGCGAGTGTGGTGTCACGTCC